GAAAACAATTCTGGTTATCACACCTTCACCATCTCCTGTTCTTTACCCCTGTTGACATCACAGTTCCCTGGCTTTTGCCCTCTTACCCTTTGTCATCCTGTGTAATGACCTGGTAGTTTTAAGTTCTATTATTGCAGTAAAAGTGCTTTATACTACCTTTTAACAACAACAAAAGATGATGCTATCAATATTAAGCACGATAAGGAAAATGCATTAACTCAGGTTTTTTTCATCTTCCAACAACAGACAGCCCTTAACCTTGAAATGTATCAGTTATGTTTTCCACCCTCAGACATTTAGCAAACAACAGATGGTTGATAACTTTGAAAGTGCCTTTCATGTACAACAATACAGGGAGCTAGTAGGCTCAGCTACAATTCTTGTCTTTCCATCTTTCTGTTTTTGTTTTTCCTCTGCTCGCCTGTATATCTGGGCCCCTGTTTTAGACACATGTCAGATATATTTAGCTTTAAGATGTTTCTTCCATTTACCCCAAATCAACAGTGAACCTGCCAGGCCTGGGATGGTTTGCATAACAGACCCATGATTGAATGAAGAAAACAGCAGATAGATGATTAGGGGCCTGGTGGTGCAACCAGTTAAAGCATAGTACTATGAAGCTCTGCACGAGTTCCATCACCAGCCCGGAAGTTGACCCACGTAGTGCAGCAGACCTCTCCTGGTTCACCCACTGCTCACCTCAGCAGTGTACTTCAATAGATATGGTCTGTTCTGCTTCCCAGCCTGTCTCTGGTGAATCCTTTCACCCCTCCCACCTCTGCATAAATAAATAAACTTAAAAAAAAAAAAGATGGCAAGAAGGAAAAAATGGAACAGGAAACATCAGAACAGCAGTTAAGAGCAAGGTAGTTGTCTCAGGGCTGGTAACACATCCCCTGCAGGATAACTACACTTTCTGGTAGTGCTGTAGAGCCCCTAGTTGTCCCACCAGCTCACGCAACTATGAACAGAATATCAAACAGATAGGCACCTTTGCCTCTGTGGAGCAGTTCTGGAGATTTTTCAGTCACACAGCAAATCTCAGGGACCTCACAGGCCACAGTGATGTTCATCTCTCCAAAGAAGAAATTGCACCCATGTGATGGATGATGCAGATAATGGTGACGAGTGGACTGTTAACTGCAGAAAGGCTTGGCAACCTGTTGCTGGGAGATTCTCATTCTGGTCATGTTGGGGGGAATAGGTCACAGCCAAAGAGGCCATCTTGGGCTGAGGTCACTGTCCAGTTTCAGGAGAACATTATTTCCATATGGAACAGTACTGCTGCTACCAAGCAGCCATAACTCAAATCTGGGATTCAGGAATATCATCCCATTGGGGAATAACCCCCACACTGACAGCATCAAAATGCCAGGCAGAGAGGACCTCCAAAGGCTCATGATAAAAAAATTTCTAGTAGTTGCCACTGAGCCAGTGGTCACTGAAGTCTCTTGTTCTGTTGGTTTGGCCCTTGGAGGAGTTTCTGTCCTAGACAAGAGGAATAGAAAGAGGATTTTATGCTATATGAACAGGCTGATACACAGCAACTACAACAAAAGCTGAGATCATAGTAAAAAAAAAAAAAGTAAAATAAACCACATATCACTACATATCTATCAGAAAGGTTAAAATAAAAAATAGTAACAATACAGTGCTGGCATAGATATAGGGGAACTGGGTCATTTATACATTGCTGGGGGCAATAAAATATGGTAATCAGTGTAGAAACCAGTTGGCAGTTTCTTATAAACGAAGCATGTGATTATCATTTGATCCAGCAACTGTACAAAAACCTTTACACAAATTACATAGCTTTATTTGTAGTAGTCCACAAATGGAAACAACTTAGAAATCATTAATAGGTGAGTGGTTAAACAAACTGTAGTACATACATACATAGTATGGGATACTACCCAGAAATCAAGACAAATGAACCACTGACAGATAATATTAAAATTCTAGGAAATTACGCTGAGTGAAAAAAGTGAACCCCTGAAAGCTAAATAATGTATGATTTAATTTATATAACATTTTAAAATGATAAAATTTTAGAAATGGAAAGCAGTAATTGCCAGGGGTAAAGGTCAAGCTGACGGTGTTGTTATAATGTTATAGAAAAAAATAGGATAAAAAAACCTTTGTTGATCTTGAGTTAGGCAAAACTTTCTTACATAGCAGACCACCATTATCAACCATAAAAGAAAGAAATGAAAAATTGGATGACATCAAAATTAAGAAATTCTGCCCATGGGGATTAAAAATGAGATGGAAAAATGCACAAAATGATGCACAAAATAATATAATAAGCTATTATATTATTTAAAAAAGTATTTATTTATGCTTACAAAACTGGGGTACAGGCCAGAGGTGTGGTGGGTAAGAGGATTCACAAAAAAAAAAGAAAAAAGAAAAAATAATTCTGACAAGAAGAAACAAAGAAATGGAAAGACATCCCTGTTCATGGATCAGGAGAATTAACATCATTAAAATGGCCATTCTACCAAAAGTGATATACAGATTTAATGCTATTCCAATAAAAATGACATTCTTCAAAATGACATTCTTCAAAAAAATATAACAAATATTGATGAAATTTATATGGAACCACAAAAAACCTCAAATAGTCAAAACTCTCCTGACTAAAATGAAAGAGAACAGAGGCATCACAGTCCCAGATTTCAAGCTATACTACAAAGCCACAGTAATCAAAACTGCATGGTATTGGAACAAGACTAGACATATAGACCAGTGAAATCGAATAGAAAACCCAGATATACAGAGTGGGGAATGGGATCAAAAACATTGGGGGGAGGGAAATGCACTGGACTATGGTGATGGCACATGGGTGATTTGGTGATGGGAAGCCCACAGGGATTACAACTGAGATGAAAAACTGCACAAAAAGATGTAAAAATCTGATTGGGAGAAAATCTTTGCACACAATACTAATGTTAAGGGACTGATCACAAAGATATACAAAGAGCTGATGAAACTCAACAAAAATAAAGTGAACAAAACCATCAAAAAATTGGCAAAAGAGCTAAAAAGACACTTGGCTAAAGAAAAAATGCAGATGGCCAACAGGCACTGGAAAAAATGGTCATCTCACTTGTAATAAGGGAAATGCAAATTAAACCACAATGAGATACCATCTCACACCAGTGAGAATGGCACATATGAAAACAACTAGCAACAACAAAGGTAGGCAAGACTGGAGAAAAAGGAGCACTTCTACAGTTTTGGTGCAAATTCAAACTGGTACAACCACTATGGAAAACTGTTTGGAGGTTTCTCAAACTGCTAAAAATGGAGCTTCCATATGACTCAGCAATCCCACTCCTAAGTGTCTACCCCAAGGACACAAAACATTGATTCAAAAAGATATCTGCACCCCTATGTTTATTGCTGTTCTATTTATAATAGGGAAGATGTGGAATCAACCCAAATGCACAAAAATAGATGACTGGATTAAAAAGATGTGGTACATATACATAATGGAATAACACAGCAATCAAAAAAGATAACTCATGCCTTTTGAAGAACATGGATGGAGCTAGAAGGGATCATGCTTAATGAAGTAAGCCCAGAAAGTAAAAGAGAAATACAGGATGTTTTCACTCATAGCAGGAGCATAAGGGATTAGGAAAAAAAAAAAATAAAGCAATTCTAATAAAAAATGAACAACTATACACCAGTCATTTTATGGGGGTGGGGAGGGGGATGGGATCAAAACTGGGGTGGAAAGAGTGCACAGGACTATGGTGATGACACGTGGGTGAATTGGTGGTGGGAAGTCCACAGGGATTACAACCAAGATGATAAAACAGAGAAAATGAAGAATGATGTAAAAAATAAATAAATTTTTTAAATTAAGAAAGTCTGCTCTTGAAAAATCTGTTAAACAAATGAAAAGAGAAAAGCTGGGGAAACATTTGCAAATCACATACAGAACAATAAGGGATTTGTACCACAATTCTTTTACAATTTTATATAAAGAACTCATCTTGTATTAAAAACTCAACAGAGTTGAGAAAGAAAACAACCCAATTTTTTAAATGGGAGTAAATTAGTAATCTAAACTTAGGTTTACACGAACAACTTTAACATGTGATGTACAAGTGATGCTGATGATCCCTTTATTCACAGCCACCGAAAACTGGGGAACCAATGAACAATTTTCGTATACCCATTCAATGAAATACTAATCAGCAACAAGAAAAAGGAAACATCACAAGCAACAGATTGCATCTCAGATGCATTATGCGAAGCAAAATGTTATACGTTATATAATTCTATTTATACAATATTCTTGCGACGGAAACATGTACAGCACTAGAAAAAGGACAAAAATTTGAGCAGGAAAAATGTACAGGCAGGGATTTTCAGAAGCTTGACTTTAGAACCAGAGAGGCCTAAATGGGTTGACAACGACTCTGAACCGAGCTGGAGACGATCAACAGCTTCTGAAAACTGTTAATAAGAAGTAAAGTAGCAACGTCTGTTTCGTAGCATGAAAGTCAGCTACAGCCTTCGCTCCCGCGCCCCGTCACAGCGGGATCCCGAAAAAGGCCTAATGACATTCCAGCAGTTAACTGGGCAGCGACGAGAGGACGCGAGCCCCGCTCCAAACAAGAGGCGCGTCTCTCCACGGCCCCTGGGCGGGCTCGGGAAGTCTCCCTTTCATTCCCCCCGCAGTTTGGGCGTTTTGAAATAGGGGTTCACGCTATCCGGAGGCGGGCTGCGCTCCACCTCTGCCCCGCGGGGGCTGCTCCCGGCCCCCGGCGCGC